AAAAAAATTAATAATTTATCTACTATTTTATGAGTAAACTAAATTTTTGAAAATTTAAGGAAGTATTAATCATATAAAATTGCTTTTTTTATTAGTATCTTTATTTATAATATTATAATGATTATGAATATTTTTTAACCATACTTAATACATACTATATGGTATATAATATATAATTTTTTTTTTTATTCGTTTTTTATTATAAAATATATAATATTAGATAAGGCTTTTAATCATTAGTTATTAGTTATTACTTATCTAATATTACTACATGTAAATATTTTTTATTCATTTATATTCAAAATACTTGGTATTTACTTTAACCCCCCCCCCTTCCACAAAAAAAACTTAATACATTCAATTAGTAACTGGAAATCCTCAAAGTCGAAAGTTAAAGCAGTTTCATTGCAAAACGTGATGACACACACACACACAAAAAAATAAAAATAAAAATCATCATACAACTAATACATTCATCGTTTCATTTAAAATCGAAAAATATAACATAATATTTAATATTCTCATGAGAACATTTCAATATTTTATAATATATATCAGAAAAAAAATTATACCAACTACAACCCTACTAGCCATAGTTGTCGAAAATGCAATATTTATTTATTTCTTTATTTTTATTTTTATGTAAATTTATCATCGAATTTCCTAATTTATAAAACCCCTGAAAATTATGTGAAATGGTGCCCTCTCAATAATAAAAAATGTTTGAGTTAGCGTGAATTATAAAAATCAAACATACTAAACAATAAAATAAAATAAAATAAATATCATACTCCACAATTTTAAACTGCACAAAAAACTGCGGTCAAGCTTGATCATGCAAAAATATAAACACTAAACTCACAATAACATTTGCAATCGAATTTTTCTTCGGGCATTATTGTCCCTTTTGCTGCGAAAACAAATAATTACTAATCCTACAGCTCGTTAAGAACAAATTATATAATTATTTATAAAGCTAATACATATTATATGGTATTGTTATTGGTGTGTACATATATTAATGATACTGTTTAAACAAGTAAGGTAGGTATAGCTTTAAGTAGCAGGTTATTTGGCAAGAAGTAGATAAGAAGTAGGCATATACTTACAGTCGTATGATTCACTGTAAAATCTTGGAGGTGGCCATTTATTCCAACTATTATCAGTTTTAGAGATTCGCTTTAAAAAATGAAGAAGTTCTTCTTCAGGGGTTTTAAATGATGTATCACCTCCATCATCATATGCATATCGACAATAAAGCCTGAAAATAAATAAAAATATGCACATTACTTTGAAATAATATAATATTAAAATCCATACAGATTTCAATACATAAATATTTTTAATTTCCATGTAGAAAACTACAAACTAAAAATATGTACCATTATACGTGTAGTGAAAAAATTATAGAATATAATAATGATATTTTTAATTTAAATATTTTAATAAAACAAATAAATTAGCTTAAATATATTAATTGATATTGATTTTGARTGATACTTATTTATTAAAATTTAAAATAATTAAAATGCATTCATATAAGTGTTTTGATTTTGTTAAGTGATATTATGAAATATAAATTACCAATCTGGATGAATTCTCCACTCATCACCATTGAAATATTCCGAAAGATATGATCCTATATATTATTGTATATATTACTTTATTAAATTCAACTTCATTGATTAGTATATTTTTATCAATAATTACTTGTTGTATTAAGGTTTTGAAATCTATCTGGTATTTTGACTCTGTAACCGAAATGCTTTTCTTGTAAAGCAACCACAACTGTGAACGGAGTCCCTTCTACAATTGAATAATAATAATGTCTCTCTGCTGTTGTCGCACGTCTCTTTTAAACATAAATATAGGTAAATATTATTCGTTTTAATCAGTAATTCATTAATTATACAGATTCATCAAATCATATTTGATTATTTTTCTATGTATAGATGTATTAACTTTTTCATAACTCATACTTTAGTTATTATGATAATAATTGATTGTCATATTAATAAGAAAAATAAATWAATTAATAAAATTAACAATAGAAAAAAATATTTTCATTATTATATTAATTTATTATCTAATGGTCTAAATATTAAGCAAGTATTATTAATTATCTGAAATATTATAATATATTAAATAAAGCTATACAGTGAAACCTCTATATACCGGTCACTCTCGGTCGCTTAAATGTCGTCCGCTATTTGGAGGTGTCCGTTAATGGAGGTTTCACTGTAGTAGATTCTTAACGAAGTGAGGAAAGTATTGATTTTACAAAGATGTATATTTTTTTTGTGTCTGTCATCACGTTTTGGAATAAAAATAATGCTTCAATTTTTGACTTCGGCCCCTCTTTGAAAAGGAAAATTCATCTAGTTAGTACTGTGTGGGAGAGGGGTCAAAAGTAAAATTTCCAATAGTTTTCAAAAGCGTCAAGAAAACCCTAATTTTTTTATTTTGCTGTAACTCAAAAACGAAWCATTGTAAATACTTGAAATTTTCACCAAATGTTTATATTAGCGTTATCTATTTAGATTAAATTTTCAAAATATTTTAACTTTTTTAAACTATTTATAGATAGTTGAAATTTTCGATTTTTCTAAGTTTTTTTTATTGAAATGACTATAAAAAAAAAATGACTGTCCAACAAATTTTAAAAATTTAAAACAAGGTAAATTATAAGTTATACTTATCGTAGTAAAAATCAAAAATCATTAGTCACATGTTTTGTTTATACGCATTTTAAGTTCAAATGTTTACAAACATATGTCATAACCACGAAAATTTGCATGAAATTATGAAGTTGAAAATTCATAAAATTGTTGTGATTTATACCTAAGGTTAAAAAACCCAACAAGGTTCTCCATAACTATTTCTTCAAATAGCTGTAAAAAACTCCAAAGTCAATATAGAAAACATTTTGTGGGCGTATAAAAGTATATTATAATTTAAATATAGGTAATATAATCTACTATCCTAGATTGACAAATCATCTCCGTTCAGAATCGTTTTTCGTATACAATGATATCTGTCATTGCATTCAAATTTAACACATGCATTATAGTAACCTACTCTCCATCTCTACGATACCCACTTGCCCACTTTTTTCTAGATAGATTTTTTTAGTAAATTGTTAAATTTGATTATTTTTTAATAAATATAAATTGTGCTTTACCATATTGTCGTAATGATACTTTACAGTAATTTCTTGATCACCAGTTGTTTGATTGATGATATAATCACGAAGCTGTAAAATGCACAAAAGACAAAACATTTAGTTTAAGGCGCGTGAACACAATGCGATTTATATGGTTTTAAATAAAACATTCATTTCAGCGGAAAACATCGAATCGATTAGTTAAGCTAATTCAAATGGCATTCGTTTATATCCAATGACCATGGTTTTGATGAACTGGAAATATTGCTGACATCATAATATTATATAAGAACGTCAAATAATCTTAAAAACGCCATTTACATTTGTTTCGTCGACTTTAATTTACGTACCTATTCGAAATAACCATATAGAATTGAACAATGATTCGGAGCTTTGTAAGTAAATATTTTTCATAAATTAATTGTTTTTAACAGTAAATGAAATAAAYGTAACTATAAAATAAAATATATTTTATTAACGTCAAAATGTTGAAAAAATTTTCTAGAGGAGGCTGCTGCAATTTTTTATTCTATTTAATTTTCATTTATAATATGAAAAGTTTTTTTTTTTATATATAAATATTATAGTTTATTTTTTGAATTTTTGAACTCCATAATATAACGGCTATTATTATAACTGCAAGTGTACTCATGAATTTTATTTAAAATATTTCTGTTAAAATAAAAGTATTAGTTTTGATGTGTTATAAATTCAAAAATGAAATATCATACCTACAGTTAATACACAAAATAAATACAAAATACAAATTTACAAACTTTATTTCATTTTAGTAACAAACGAATTATRATATGGCAGTATGATAGTTTTATGAAAAATGTAAAAAAATTATAGAACATAATAAAACATAATAATTTCTCATCTTCTAATTTAGTTCATAGTTGTTAAATTATAAAATATTGTGTAATATACAAATAATAGTTTGGCCAATTTAGGTACCTACACAAAATATAAAAATTCAAATTACTTATTGTACGGTAATATTTTAATGATCCCAAACTGTTGAGCGATTACCATGTATTATATTTTAACTAACTATGATATTATAATATGTACCCACTGTTGTTATTTTTATAAATAAATTTAAATGTTTTAAATTTAACACATCCAATTAACTAAAATAGTAGCTCACTCAACACTTACTGTTCAGCAGACCGACTCGCCTGCTCCTTTTAAAAATTGTATCTTCTTCGTGTTATTTATTGAATAGTGATATTTAATCGTTTATGATTTTAATTTCAAAAGTTATTTTAACTTTTAAGTTTTCACTTAAACCATCTTATGTAGATAGATACACAGGAAAATTATAAATTGGGTTAAAATAATTTTTTCCAACAACTAATTTGAGTTAATACACCATGGATTGTAAACAAAGGCCATTTTATTCATTAATAATAACTTTGATATTATTTTAGGTATGTTAATTATTTGTTTTCATAAATGAATAGGTGGTTTTAATAGCTGTATCTACTTTTTCTCGTTTCAATTGCAAAACTGTTATTCATAAGGCTGAGGGTCAAGATAGTGTCATAAGAAACAACCTTTCGCTACAGATGCAGAACGAAACAACAGCTAATCTCGAAACTGACAATCCAGCAATTACCAATGATGATAAGGTTGTTACGTCACAGAACAAGACTACGAAATTTCAAAAAAACATTACGTCCTCCACGGCCCAGAGAAATGAGTCAGCTGTCGTCGAACACGATAATTCAAGAATTAATCGGAAACTCAAGACCCGCCAAGTCCCGGCAGATGTTCTAGTGACGTCTAGTTCCACCATGGTGGACAGCATGAATGCCGATCAATCATACTACCAAAGTCCTTTAATGGTATATCCGTTTCCTATGATGAACACATACTATCCCAGATATTTTCCGTACACATACCCAGGATACCAAGGATATCCATTCTTTGGATAACGATTATAAATCCAGCGGTACATATTTAATATTTAAATAATAAATAAATAATTATAAACACCTATTATATAAAGTTTATTTTTGTACTAACCGTAAGTATACTTGGATTAAACACCCTTGGAGTGTTGTCAGATTCAACAAGTTCCACTTCAGTCACATCGATGCTGTTGTAGTTTGGCTTCAAAATATCTCCAAACTAAAAAAAAATATTTTTGTAAAAGATAATTTCGCTTACCTATATCTAATATATTTTATTTTGAATTGTATTAACGTATTTATCAACTTATTTATACTTTATAAGCATTAAACCAGTGTTTCCCATCCGCGGGTTGTCCGTGGGCATGTCATAGGTGGGTCGCGGTACCTTTCTTCGTTTTCTATTAAAAATTATTTTTTTTTTTTTTAAAACAGTGAAAAATATTTTATTTCACCGTAATATCGCTTGGACGTAAGTGACGACATATTATTAGTAAAGTTTAATAATTATATACAATAGTACAGTAAAATAATAAAAATTAACATTTTTATTTTGTTAATTTTGTGTATTCTTGTTAATGAGCAAAAATAAAAAAAGGTCTTCCTAGTTTGAGTAAAATTGAGGTGGTCTGCGACCTATAAAATATTGACGAAGTGATCCGTGGAGGTAAAAAGGTTGGGAAACACTGCATTAAACAAACACCTCCTATTAATGTATTATACATCAAAATCAATAGGTTACTTATATATCAAATATTTTTAAACTTTTAGTTTAATACTTTAATAGATTTATGTTTTTTTTTGTATTTATAGATATATGTGTTGACTAGTAGAGAAACCCCATTGTTTTGGAACATTCACTAAAAAAATTAATTCAAACACATTTACGTTCAATCATTAAAAAAGGAAACCGTTTACGTTCACGTTTTTAAAAAAAAAGAGGCGTTCATCTAATTTTTTGTTTATGAATATTTTACCAGCAGTTTATACAAAAACCCATGATTGTATAGGACTTAAAAATAAAAAATAAATTTATAGTTTAGAGTACATATTACATTATTTAAAGTGCCTAAATTATATGCATATTAAATTCATTAAATAGTAAATAAATTGCAGAGCGTCTTAAAAACATTCGTAAAGTGTATACAACATGGAACAGATCTTTCATTCTTTCAAGAAAAATAGATGAATTTCTACTGACTAATAAATAAGTTTTAAGATGGTGGGAATATTTAGAAAAATCAATATTTTTAACAAYTGAAAATATTTAATTTAAACATAAAATTGGAGACTAAACTGTATTTGATATGTTATTATATATGTATATATTTTCTTAAAGATAAGATTAATGATGAAATAGTATAAGTTGGTGCCAATAATAATACAGGCACCTTTAAAGCTTATAATTTGTAATATTAATCATAAATTTAATTTAAGACTCAGTTTAAGATCGTTAGGTAGTTTGTAATTATTATAAAGAGTAGCGACCAAAGTCAATAATAAAACCTACGGACTTGATTTAAGCCTGTTAAACAACTTCAACCGCGGCAGTAACTACTACCCATGACATTCTTTTATGAGAGAATTAATTTATATGATTAAGATCTCCATCTTCATTTAAGTTCTGCATGGTAAATGGGATTGATAATATTTTTCTACACGATTTTATGATATATGTATATGTTGAAAAGTGCTTATAATATGTTATAGGTAAGGAAGTGATGTCCAAAAATAACTAATTTTGCGTCGTAGTCATGTTATCTGGCCAAATTGTATTTTATTTTATTTTTTTATATTAAAAAAAAATAAAAGTAGAACAGCTAAATGAAAACGTTAAAATAATTTTTCTTTTATTCTATCCTTTTCATTTTTCAACACTAATTTATATTTGTTATAACCACATAATATGTGTTTTAAAATTTAATAATGCATTTAAATTAAAATTTACTTACTACTGGTCTGAGATCTGGATGTGTGACAATGAAACCGTTGTTAGTAACGATAAATGCATAGTTATTGACACCCAACTTAAAAGTACAAATAAATAGATATAGTATGAAATATATTATTGATGTTATAAAGACAATTTTCACTAACTATGTGAGGTGACATGGCTTCTCGTAAGTCTGCTTCAGGAACATCAGTTCCAACAACACCAAGTAAATGGGCCACTTTTGTCTGTAAACATTAAACTTGTTTACTAATAATATGTTTATAAAAATAAGTAACTAATTATAAATGTGCGATATTCAAAGTAAGTAACCCTTTTAAAAATCACACACTAGCTATAGTTATATTTCCTACAAAAAATTAAATAATACTAACAACATAAAATTAAATTGGTCTACTCTATTATGATTAAATTTAATTAATTTAAGGTTCTTGTTTATATCTACTATGTACTTAAAACTCAAATTACTATTGATTCTCTACGCGCTAGTCTTAGACTAAAATATATAAAACACCTTTTAAAAATTAAATTGGGTTTCAATCACGCCAAGTATCTATTTGAAACCAAATATTAGTTCTAACTATTATTTCTAACTAGGTRCCTAAATAAATATAATTAAATATAATTAAAACGTATTAGGACCCTATACCTACCATCACCATTATTTAGAAATTCTATCTAAGAAAATATTAATACTAAGCTTAGAACTCTAGGCGTTCTAAATTGTTACATTTAATCTATCCAATGCGATAGGTAGGTACCAATATTTGACGACTTTTTTACTAAAAATACAATACCTATATAATATATAGTTGGTAATAGATACAGAATTGTCACATAGAAGAATAAGTTTCACAATATAAAAACATTAAGGTACTATTATAATAAAATATGATTACTATAAAATATTAAGATTTTTCTAAGAATGACCAAAAAAATATGGCAGACTACCTGCTGAATTTTTAAATACCTCTCGTGTTTCCCAAACCCAGTAGTTATCATTTATTAGCCTTCTTACTGTGATATTCTGTTGGGAAATAATTATTAAACACGTTTAGTATGAGCTCTTAAAAAAAAAAAATACATATTTTTTTTTTTAACTATCTGCAAGTATTAAATTATTTGTAAAAATACGCACTCTGTATATAATAATATATTAATGTGTTTTAATTTTTTTAGCGAGTTGATGGAACAAAACAAGTAACCACTCTAATCTATAYATACGTAAGAATATAATCTACTTGCCTTATATGAAGTTTAAAAGATATACATTTTACTGGTCTTAATTCCATTTAAGGTAATTTTTAATGAAACTAATATTGTATAAAAGATGTTATACATATTATACAACTCAAATAATAAATACCTATTGTACAGGAATTCAGGTTAATTAAATTAATAGTAAGTATATAATTTATTATATTATAAAAACTTAATTATTTTATTTTATTTATTACTTAAATATTTAATTAAATATGACAATATAGTCTAATCAAGACCGACGCGCACTTATTTTTTAATCAATAATTATTAAAACTCGAGACCAGACCAATGTGCGATCTACGAGAAAGTCAGGCTTTTTTAACGGCTACAATAAAATATAATATAATATGATCTACCAATAATAAACAATAATATTGCCGTAGTGTTCTAATTTTATAATAATTTAATAAAAATTTCGTTTTCCTATATTCGAAAAGAGGGCTCAACAAATACTGTTATGAATTAAAGATAGGGAGGTACAAATATCCACAGTGATCAGTGTTGAGAAAAACAACATTCTCGTCACTCAAAAACAATGCAGATTATACACCAATCTGTTAGATCACACATTGAATCCATCCCTGAAATTCTTAGAAAACATAAAATATACACCTTTGTCAAGTATTTTAAGTGTTAATATTTTATCTATACCTATGTTATGACAAAATGTAGTAAGTAGAAGAGTTATTTTTCTCGGTGCTTACTTCTTGTAGTGCTTAAAGTATCTAAAAATATCGTGTTATACAGTATTCAACAGTATCATAAAAACTATGTTACATAATCTATAGTTAATTAATGAAGTAATGTAGATTGTAGTTCACTATGGCAATATAACACTTTATGATGTGCCGTAGCTAGAACTTTTTCTTAAGGGTAACTGTATTATTATTATAAATATTTTTATTAAAAATTAATTCTATTTTATTTTATTTTATTATTAATACAAATGTTATTATTATTATAAACTGCATTTCACAAAAATCAATATTTTTTACCGTATGTACTTACTTAGTAGATTATTAACAAAGAATCAGTTTTATAACTCATTTTTCAAAATTGCATTTGTAGACTTAAAAAATATATTAAAGATTCTCTTGTCAAAACTGTTCCAACTTYAGTGCGAATTCCATATAAAATAGGAAAATGATTTAATTTTAAAAACTTGATGCTAACAATTCATCGAAACGGTGCCAACATTATTATCTTTCTAGTATGCATAATAGCATTTGAAAAAAAAAGGTGGTAGCCCATTTAACTCCCGTTTCTCTAAACGGCTCTCGTTTTACAAAAAGGTCAATTTCCAAACGACTTCCGTCAAAAAAAGTCTAACGAACAGGTAAATTCTTAAACAGCTCCGATTTTACAACACAAAWTYCTTCCCACTTTAGGACTGTCTTAAAAGAAGTGTGGTTAAAAATGTCTTGGCTTACATCAAGTAAATTATTGAAATTGTATAAAAAAAAGCTTATAGTATCATATTGAATTTTAAATTTTAAACATTAAAAAAATATACAGGATAATACCTATATATACTATATAACAACAGAATTACGATTAGCAGCGTAATAACATTGCGTAGTTATTATATAGGCTGTTTTGGAAGATAGGCGTGTATATTATGTTCAATAATTATTGTGGAATACAATATTATACAGTTATATGCCTGTTAGTACATTTTTTTCGATGGGTGCCTCTTGAGAATTTACCTTTTGGTAAGGCCTTTTTTGATGGGAGTCGTTGGTAAATAAACAAACAATAGACGGTAGCCTTTTGGGATCCGACGAGAAAAACATAAGTTTTTATAAAGTTGATTTCGATCATTCAATTTATGGGGTGAATCAGATTTKTTCTTTGAAATTATAACGAATTATTTTTATTGATAATTTGTCTCAATAATAAATATTAAATATGATAATTCAATATTTTAATGTAAAGCTTTGACTATCTATTTACAATTACCTATAAAAAAAAGTTCAGTTAGAGAAGGAAAACACGCACTCCCAGTCTCAATCTTACTATGAAACCGTGACTACGCATATATTTATGTATATAATATGTGTAATGTATAATATTGTAATGTGATATATTATGTTCAAATAAATTAAATTGTGTAAGATCAATAATAATTCAGTGTTGCTTTGGAATACAAAATATTAGTATTTTGAAAGTGTTCCAAAATAATAAATACATTTTGTCTTTCTAAAATGATTCATAAATTAGATTAAATGCATTGATAATTGCATTAGATGATTGTTGAATGTTGATGTAACTTCAAAAATTATTTTTCATAAACTTACCATTTCAGTTTTTTTGTCGAATGCCGGCATCGCAAGAGAAGTTATTAAATTGTGTTTTTTTTGTCTATTCACGTTTAAATTTTGATCCAACTCCTAAGAACAATATAAAATATAATTTAGTTAAAAAAAAAAGATATAAGTATGTACTTTTTTTCTTCGATCTCGTTCTCGTTTTGSTCTATTCTTTGGATAGAAAAATTGGTCTTTTGTTAATTTATAACTAATCGTATCATCATACTGTTGTCGACATTCTTCTTTTTCCCATAGATAATCAGTCATTTTTGGATCCTAAGAAAAATACGAATAATATATTCTCGAACTAGTTATTAACGGTAKGTTATGATTACAGTAACATCAGCGTATAATGGCGTCCAAATAACAGGATGATGCGATTGGTGCAACACCAAGGGCCTAGCCATTACCGGTAAATAGTGTACCACTTGTTCTCGAACTTCTTCAACCGTACTTAAATGAACAAAATACCCTAAATTAAAAAAAGTTTGTTGTTCAGATTATCTATTTGTTTATGGTTTAAAATTTAATACCACCTTATAATTGTTATAAAAATTTTCGTCATCGAATTATAAAATATTTACCATGATTAGCACAAGCCATCCATTTCATGTCTCTTATTTCTGGAACTTCTCGACCAATCAGATACGTAAATACTCTTACTGGCATACCCATTGTACCATTCCTCCAGTTATGTGATTTAAATAGCTCATAGAAGTTTTCTGGTACGCCATCAGTAACCAACATTATGGCTTGGTTACACATAGCACCCATATTTCGTTCACGGTACTAAAAATAAAATTGTATTTTTCATTTCACCAAAAGAATGATAAAATTAAAGTATTGATTTATTGTAAGTATTAATAAGAACCGTTTCAAGTGTCTCGAACGCCTTGGTTAAAGCTTCACTAAAATCTGAGATATTATTTGGATCGGCAATATTTTCTACACCTAATTTTAGTTCTCTGATATTTGCCAGTGTGGCCTGAATAAAAAATAAAATTCCTTATTAATGTTTCTTACTTAAAATAGCATACATGAATTATAGGTAATATTTAGGTACCTAATTAATATTGACTTTAAAATTACAGTTGAAAATAAAAACCCTTTAACTGTTTTTTTTTTTTTTTAAATTTTAATATTAAATAATAAATGCATACTTGGACGAGTAAATTTTTGAAGCACGGCACGACTTCATTCGTTACATTACTAAATACAAGTACATTCACGTAGTCGTTCACTGATAATGTATCCAATAATGTATTTATCACGTGCCTGGCAATGATTTTACTTTGTCCCATCATTGACCCAGAATTATCGACTAATATAAGAATATCTTTAGGACTAGCAGCTGCTTCTACGTACCAAGGACGCATTCGGCAATCGTACAAATCTTCTGTATTATTTGGTTTGTCTGGCCATTCCATTGCTACGAAAAATATTAGACGAGTTATAGTAATTATTATCAGTTATCATTTAATTAAATTAATAAATGTAAAATAAATTGATAAAATTGAGAGTATTTTTAAACAGCATAATTTAAAAAAATTGTAAATCAAGTATTTCGGATGGGTTTGTTATAAACCCTTTAAATACTATCTTATTCAATGATGTTAAAATAAATTCCAAATTGTGTAATTTTTTAAAATTATACTAAACAAATGTTCTGGTATCTGGGTGAGTAATTTAGTAGAGTCGTACATAACTATTTGGTGCATTCGGGATTTTTTTAATGGAGRATAACATATTGTTTATTGTTATACATTTTATTTATTTAAATARAAGCAAGATTGTATTTATTTCAACATGATTGATAGAAAAACCAATTTATAACATAACCTTCAGATATTTCTAGAGTACAAAACGAATTTTGAACTTAATATATACTCATCTGAATCAAATACATGAATACCTGTGTCTATTATTCTTCGCGATGACGCGAATTAAAATGCCTTAACACCCCTTTTCCTAAAAATAATATTTCACTAGGTAATAGTATTTTCCCGGAATAAAATAATTCTTTAATAATATCATTTTAGTTTCGAAACGAAATACTGAATGTTTGTATTGATTTTACAGTGATCTGTGAATTTTTTCTTGATTTTTTCATTTTAATGTATACGATTTAAAGAAAAAAAAATGCTTTGATTAAAAAACAGGCATGTTGTTACACCAGTTAATACTTTCGAAAAAAAACAAAATGTTAAACACTCAGAATTATAAAAACAAAAAACAAAATTAGGGAAACTGGAATATCTCGTAAAATCCAGTTTTTGATATACTTGATTAATTATATTAATATTCCTYAATATTCATATAAGCCTTTACTAGATATGACATAATTTTCAAAATATTAGTCGGTTTTTGTGCTAATTTTAGTGATTCACCCGATCAAAAGCATTTGCTAAGTCGGTAAAAATTGTCAGCCATTATTTAATGACTGATATGAGCATAAATAAATAATATATCTACAATTAAAATATATTTGTAGAATATAGGTACCTGGAAACTGTCTCATAAAACCAGTTGTACTTCCAAAATATTGCCATGACAATCTAGGGTCTATTTCGTAGTTTTTTTTAAATGTTTCATCCAGATTTTCTGACCATTTGATAGCCTTAATTACATCAGTCGCTAAATTGAAGTATAATTAATATTTTAAAATGATTAATTATGATTACATAAAAAAAAATGTTTAAACGTTGACTTACCCCGGTCATAAACATAAGTTGGTATATGTACTGAACTATATGTAACGTTTACAGGCGTATTGTAAAAATGAGAATTTTCTTTTAGATCATTTAATAATATGTTTGTATTTGGAGTAGCTTTATTTGGTTTTGCATTTCGAATTTTATATTCATCACCCGGTGGTTCATCGTCGTGGGCTGAAACTGCAACTTGTTCAACGCTTTCTAATATTCTCTACGGAATATTATGATACAAATTAAATATTAATCATGTTTATTAAATATAATTGTGTACGTATATTGTATACATTGCGACATTGCGTCATGTAAAATTAATTTACAAGACTTGGTAATCAAAAATGTATACTGTTACTAACTTTTAAAGATTGTTGTTTTTTATCCATCATTGTTTTAATAACACTCGATATGTTCGCCACCAAAATCTGTCCATTCCTTCCTTCTAATTTCGCTTCTTTGTTATATTTCTATAAATAACAAAAGTTAGAAATTTATAACAAAGATATTTTTTAATAAGAAATTAATTCTAAAATAGTACCTATAGGCTATAGGCACTATTTAAATAAATAAATATGTATAATTTTTTTAAATATAAATATTTACTGAGAAATTATATCGTTAATATACGTTATCGCATTGAATAAATGTGATAAGATTTTTTTTTTAAATACTAATTGTTTAAAATGTGTTGTTATATGCTTTTTTTATTATTTGACCTAACTTTATGAGTATCTACAATTTAGTTAATAATTTATTTAGATACCTATAAATTACGTGGTTTATTATATGTTATCTAATTGAAATCTATATTTAAAACATAAATTTACCAAATATTAAAATGATGTAGATACTTTATACTACTATGGTGTAAAACTGTTAACCTATATTTTAAAGCATGTTATTTAAGTTTCGCAAATCATATTAAGTGTATATAAGTACCAAATTATTATTAAGTAACGTAAAATTAAACTATTTTAACCAATATTATACCGATAATTTCTTAATGGACGAGGAGCAAAAAAACTCTGCAGTACTTGGCCACCTGTGGACTAGTTTGTATAATGGTTCTATATTGATTAGATTTTAGAAAGATATTACAAATGATTTTAATAAGTATTCCATTCACTGAAGTATAACAAATAGTTTTTAAAATCTCAAATTGGTATTAAAATTTTAGAAATTAATAATTTAAATGTAAAAAACTGTGTCCATMACATGTCTCGTGTATCCGTTCTCATCAAATCAGGACTTTGCGCCTAAATCAACTAGTGCCATAATATTAATAAAAAACTTAAGACCCCTTAAAAATCTGAACATCCAAATCGGCCGAGTCCCGTATAATCTGAACGGTTTTTATTTAAAACACCCGAATAAATCAAATTATAAAATTTGCAACTAATAAGACTTTTCTGTGATCAATTCAATTTTGTAGTTAAGATTTTTATAATTATTATTAACGAGAGCTTAGAGTGCTTGGATTCTATGTTTTAACAGTAAATTAAAAAAATAGCCAACTATCACAATGACTAACCAAATACACATATACTTATTATTTTATCATTTGAAATAATATTCTTAGAGATAATCTATTCATTATATACCTACCGGCTACCACCAAGTTTTTTCTGGACTACTTGATATTATTATTACTCTATGTTTGACATACATAGTATCTAATTCATATTAACCCAAATAATAACGGTTATTAGCAGGCAAATATATGTTAAAAATTTAAATTTGTATTCTATAGTGTTTGAACGACAAAATACAAATCAAACATTTGAAATTAGTAACATGAAAAAAATTCTCGTATTTCATCGATATTTAATGGTTTATTTTAAATTTTAAGGGATGTTTTGTTTTGAGTGACATATAGTTGAATATTGGTGCAGGTAGAATTTGGGGACTTAAGTCCTCCGGGATRTTGTCAAGCCCCCTTCAGAAAGTTTATTCCATSTACAACACTTTTAATGATAATAATAGATTTATTGTCTATTTAACATATTGTACCACATTTATTTATGTAATACATTGACATTTATAAAYCAATATAGCAGAATGTTTGAAATCAAAATTTAAGTTGTAAGTTGAAGGTTGAAGTCTATTTAATTTTGATAATGGGTATAAAAATGTTAAGTCCCCTATATATTCAACCAACTATCCGCCAATGGTACGTGGTGATTAATTTAATCACAGTTATACACAWTGATGTAGATAGGTACTTCACGGAGTTTTTGATCTGAAGGATATAATATGAGTGGTATACAAATACAATTATGTTTTTTTTTTTGTCAATAATAATCCTTGTATGTACGGTTGAATGACTTATCAAATACTCTGTCTCTGTGTATTAAAATATTTTATATTTTAAGGTTTTGAGTTCAATTATTCAAATAGCCATTTATATAATATTAATATGTCTTATGATATGCTGATATGTACATAATGTGTGACACAAATTAAAGATGTACAATATTTGTTTATACCCTTATATATATATTATGTCATGATGTTGTAATTACCGATTGTTGATTTAATTTACTAAGAATAATGATGAAATAATTTAATATTATACGTACATTTTATATATTTATCAATGAAAAAACTGAAATTTTAAATTTATTCAATGTTACATGGATAACTCAAACATCTTTAAGTCGAATTTTAATTATTTCAATAATTCGAAGGAATTGGCCTCTACATTTAAATATGTACATATAATTTTTTCTAGAATTCAGTTTTTTTTTTTTATCGACCTATTCGAGTTATCGAGATTTAATAAATGCAGTAGTAAGTAATTGTAACATCGTATTATAGGTAATTTTATTATATAATTACCTATTTAAAATCTTACAATAAATACTAATATAGATTTTTATTTGAATATAATGAAACATTTCGAAGTATAAAATATACTTTAAAAAAAATTATTTTTTTAGATATCTAGTTATAACTTGGTACTTATMATAGTCTTTATCACTTTTTTTAATTCACTCAATTCCAAACCATTTGACTTYACATTTTGAAAATGCAATTTAAAAATATTATGGGTTACATAGTATATTATTATCTAATATAATTCATACCTAYATATTTATTTTTAATAAAAATAGCAATAATAATTTAAGTAATGAAAAGTGATAAAACAAATATCTAATCATTTTCCATACGTATATAACACGATAATTCATATTTTTTTAATTAAATTTCAAACAAGTAAAATGTTTACTAGTTGTATACCTATAGTAAAATAACGGTTTAACATCTACATCAATCAAGTATATATATTATATGTTATAATATAATATAATATTAAATATTATAGGTACTTGTTATATTCTAATTGTGTCTTGAATTATAAATATTTATCTATCATAGATATACATATCACATATGCATATATAATGTGCATCAAAGTTATACATACTTATTACTTATATAATATAATGTGTATCATATTTTATAAATGCATAATATATTACATGTATAATGTATAATATGTATATACTTATTACTTATTTACTTACGCTTTGCAGTGATTTTCGATTAGTTATGTATTCTCCGCAGTTCCACAATTCAAAATATAATTTTTCGGCCCACGTTTGCAGCCTGTGGATAAGTATTTTTTAAACGCAATCATGATGAGTTATGTAGGTACACAATAAGAGATATAAATATGTTATACAATAAGTACCTATACAGTATACAGTATTTGTACATTATTTATATAAATATTTATTAAATAAGTAATTATATTGCTGCACTTGTACCTAGGTAAARTTACCATAAGGTGTATATATTATCAACACGTCACCCCCTATTTTCCAGATAGTCTTATGAGTTACGAGTATGACTAAACCATAGAATACTAGGTTTTAATACTARTATTCTATGACTAAACAAATCCCTTCCATACCATCACATATTCAATAATAGCTTCAAGTTATGAGGGTACTAATTTCAATAATGGGGATGCAAGACACACCCAACCCTTTCCAAACTGCTCCTAGCATGACTGACATATTATTAGGTATATATATATATATATATATTGACCGTCTACAATATGTCATAAGTATGAGGGTGTTAGGTATAACATATTATACTTTCTAAATTTATATTCTTATGGCATATTGTATCATATATTATTGTTAATTACCTACCTAGGTTTAGACTATAGATACTTACAGAGTCGTTTTGACGGGTTCAGGATTGTCGTGTTGAAGGCATTCCCGGACCGTGAAACATCCATATAGGAACAGGGCTACCAAGATTTTGGTGGTTTTCATGTTATTGTATCTTTACAATAACGATAGGTAGGTACTATAATATACTCGCCACACCGCGGCCCGTTCGACGATCTGAACAATATTATACAATAATATACAATAATATTGTATAATATATAACAAACTTTGATTAATTGTGGGTATAACGATAATAATAACGATAAAAAATGTTATATCATTATACAACTGCAGAGGGGCCCGAAGATTTAAAGTAAACAATGACCGATATAATTTTGTTAAACCGGACGATCGCGAACGTGCATAAAAATATATTTTATACTTATATATAAACGAYAATAATAATATTAATAATGATATAATATCGTGTACTAATGTTATCGGGTTTGTTTTTATTAGCCGCGACCTAATGAACTGCGWKGTCCGTCCGTCTCCGCCGCCGCAGGAACACTAATGACACTATGCATCGCACTGTTGGCCGGCCAGCCGTGGACCGATCGATACGCAGACCCCGAGGTGACAGAAATGCGAGGCGCATGGGTACAACGCACGCACGACCGCCGCGTCGCATGCGACTCGATTCCAGACCGCTTGTCGCTTACGACATGTAGTCGGCACGTGTACGACGAATGACGATCGATTGCTGTTCGTTATTTTTTCGACGCGCCTATATCCAATAGATRGGTACATGTTATTGTTTCATGATAGCAGTGGYGAAATAACATAATRWAATGTAGGTAGCCGATAAAAATAATAACAATAATGGACTAAATTTAAATTTTATACGACGCGATTTCATATTGAAGTATTTACYGCCGCCACGTCCTCRCAATATACGCTATAAAGCTATAATATCATATTATCATACTATTTACTTACCTATTACTACAGATTGGGCCGTGGTCGGATCTTACCGTAGACTGCCACTGCCATCACGTATTATCTTTGAAAAATTGACGCATCTACCTACGTCAAAATGGAACCTTATGGCCCACAACGGACAACGATCAAGTGTGCATACTTTGTTGTTAATAATTAATATTATCAAACGAATTCGAAGACAAAAAGTTGCGAAAAAGGTATCAAAATTACACACACACACAAATGTAGGTACAAATAAACAATAACTACAGTAGGTTACCTATATATAGTTACTTATTCATACTATAAATATAAGTAGGTAGGTACTAACTTACTCAATATAATTTATCTAAATAATAAAACATTGCATACAATAATAGTCAACAAGTATAGGGGCTCAAAAATAAAATTATGAGATAAATAAAATGTATAAACATTTGATAATAATAGGTGTAAGCTAATTTTTTTTAAACTTAAAATTTAATTTTTACGTTAGGTACGCTTTTATGTAAATATTTAATAAGTTAATGTTTTTTATTATGTTTTAATTATATCATACTATACCATGACTGGGTGACCGTTTCAAATGAGGTATACGATTGATTTAGATTGAAAATGAGATTGATTTTWTTTTAATTTTATATTAGGTATGCGAAAAGCACCTTTTTACGTATCCAACCAGATCTTACATAACGACCTTGCCATCTCACCCGTCTACGGCGTAGCTAAAACCTTCTTTAGACGAGTCAACTTATCTGTTAAAAACCACCCTATCCCCTAATCAAAGGTCTTGCGTCGGAAAACATACCTGACAATCCTAGAAAAAGACTAAAAAGGCGGTGGTGTCGGGACCTATTCATTTAGCTAATTGTCTAGGTAATTGTATTTATAATTTTAGTGTTTACTCCAGTCCCTAAAATTGTGTGTAGTACGAAATTTAAAAGTGTGTTATAATAACCTTTATAATAATATTCTATACAATTTTAATATAACTATATTAATTCAGTATATCAGAAAAATATAAAAATATAAAAAAATTTTTTTCTACAAAAATTCCATTTCACAAATTTTTTTTAAAGAACCTTTAAATTTGTTAAATAAAGGTTCTCCTTTATTTAAATAAAATTATTTATTGTAAATATATATTTAGAGGGTATCCACACTGGTAGACCTCCCTCCTCACGCCATTCATGTTATACCTACCTTTTCTTTGTTATCATATTTACTTATTGTATGTATATAAATTACAGATTGTAAATATTMTATTTTATCTAATAAAAAAAAAATATATATATATTATCATTAACTGATATGTACTATGTATAATTTAGATTTGACTGATTTGGGATTATGTGTGTACTGTGTAGTACGAAAATTTGGATATTTTAGGGACTGGTTTACTCATAAAAATTTATATAAATCACTGACAAAGTGTCTTCAAGGGAAGGCTTCTTAAATCTGTTCTTTCTCCAAGCCACCTTTTATTCATTCACCTTTTACTTATTGTTCAATTTTATTATGTAACAGCATAGGCGCAAATAGACAAATTATTTTGGGGGGACTAATTAATGACTTTTGAACCACCATCTATTTGCGGCAATGTGTAACATATTGCTAATATATAAAATTTAATTAAAAAAATAAAAATATTATGCGAAGGAAATTATAAAAATTGGCATCATTCAAAAAATTATAAGTACTTATTATAGTTTCATAAGTCAAATCATAAGTTGAAAATGCGTACCTACCTAAGTGATGTTCTTTTAAATTGTATGTGCTAAGTATAAATTTTAAAGAATTTTTATTTTGTTGGATACYGGAGCCGTTTGGGAACCAACAATTAATAGATGGCCCGATGRATGCCAATTGGGTTGCACCATTCTTTTCGGTTAGTCCATTAATGGCAATAATGGCATAAGCTATAAGGGTGATAATATCAAAATCGGGAGTGCTACCCACCACCAAGCACCCTCCCCAACTTATTTTATTATGCTTGTGACCCATTAATCATACATTTTTACAAACATTTTATAAATTACACTATATTAATGGTGGTTTGTAGAGTGAAAACTKATATGACATTGAAATTATAGATAGGTAGTAGGACTAGTAGGTATTCACTAGTATTAACTAAAAACTATAACTAATTCTTGAAGCGATAGCAACTGCATCTGAGTATTCCAAGATCTGTTCAAAGTTTAAAAATTTAATTTAAAGATATAATAGTTCTGTCCCGGAGTTTTTTTTTTAATGGATATAACAATTCCGTTCAGTGTCAAATATTTAGTTATACCTACCAGTTTAGATCATTTAGTATTTTGCATTAGTTATTTATTATATATATATTGTATCGAAGTCGTTTTATATTTTACTATAGCCTTAGCAGTGGCGTATTTAGGGGGGGCTAGAGTGAGCGATCGCCCCGGGCGGCATTTTGATTTTACATAACCCATCTTCTGTTAATGAAAATGAAAATGAAAAMTATGTGAATTTTAAATATTTATTGTTTTGTTATTATAGTTGAACTAAACCTATTTTATATTAAATATTTAAATGTGATTAATTTATAAAGATAACATAATGTTTAATGTTTGAAATCTGCTTTTTTTTTCTAACTTTTGTTCTAAAAAGGATAACGATAACGGGTTGTCACCGGAAAGTAAGCTCCAACGCGCTCGGCAGGTTGAAAAAGTCAAAAAAAAATTGTGTGTGGGGGGGGGAACATTGGCACCCGGGCGCCAAATTTCTGAATACGTCTCTGAGCTTTAGCCTTATATATAGCCTATTTAGGCTTTAGGTACCTACCCATAAACAATGTACGGCTTAATAACGTTGACAAATTGAATTGAATTATATTATATTATATAGAAATAAAGACAATATTACGATTTCAGTTATGGAATTAAATTTCCGATTTTATTTATTTATTATTATTTTCCGAAATTAATCGAACTTTTCTGCAGTCGTTATTTATTTGAGTCTGTGCCATTTAATATACAATAAAAATGGATAGTATAACATGTATGTATACAGTGAAAAAGGTAAAATTGTATTAATTTAAATGTTTCCAATTWAATTTAATAACGATATTKAGACGCTGGAAGTGTATTTAACAACAATGCAAGCATGTATTAACGTTGGTATTTGGTAAGATAAATAAATTTGTATATTTAAGCTTTTATAATAAAGTACATAGGTACTTAAAATATGTTTTTACATCAGAAAAATATAAGAAATTRATTGAAAATTTAGACCAACGCCATGATGAAATTGAATAAAGTATAAACTAATTTAAATCGTCAAAAACTTAGTGATTAATTAAAAAAGAAAAGCTGTGAATGGTATATGTATATGAAAAACYAGTGACAATTATTCATAAATAAYTCCATAAAACATGATGTTAACACTATTACCTCTAAAGATACATACTTAAGATTTTAAGAGGACGCAAGGGTCGATGTCGATGCCCCCTCGTAGACTCTAGAGAATTCTAAAATTTCTGTTTTCAGTGGACTGATAAAACACATTGCCTTGCCGATTGGCTAAAATTTTATCCAAGATGCGCCCTACCCCCCGTAAATCTATTTTGAATCAACGCCTGTACCTRCACACATTCTTGTATTTATTTACAATATAAGCTTATCTCATTCAAGTGRAATTATATATAGTACTATTTATGTTTATAATAGAACCTTTWGACGTTTCCCAAGATAATTTTCATAATTTTTTACCAAAAGAACCAAACAGTTTTTTTTTAACAGCCAGACAAAGCAAAAACACGTATGATTTATAAAGTACCAGTAAACATTTACACCTCAAATCATTAACGAAGATTTCGAAAAGACTAAACATACTTTTCAGTTTTGTKAATGCATATTTTGGCCGGAATTAAATTTGAGAGGATTTCGACTTCAATTAGGACAGTCATAGTCGCGTAAAATTCAAGATCTAAAAGTAAAATAGTTAACATTTTATAGAAATGATAATTCTGAGATGGTAGATTTATAAAGTAGGTACCTACATATATAATATATTTGAATAGCATTTTTAACACCAGTTGAAGTAGATGATTTTTTGCTTTCAGGTTTGATGGGAATCCAGTTGATAAAAAATGTTAACGATTAAGTTATAAAAATTCTTAAGCACGGAATAAGTAGGTATACATATACAAATACCTATCATTGGGAYGGTATTGGTGTAGAAAAAGGTTCTTGGGATGGAGCTCGTATGCAGTCTTTGTACTCTTTGTAGCTTAACACAGTTGAAAACAACATTTTCAATTTGTTGGGAACCCCTTGGCTGTAGTATTAAGAATAATAAGAATAGTTAGCTATGTAAACAGAATGCATTGTTCGACGCAATCGCCGGTTGATGTATGTTTTTCATAAGACAGTCGTGAAAGACCAGCGATTCCGTTAAGACGAGTGTTATATAATTTTATTTTATAACGGTGTTTTACTTAAATTAAATAAATAAATAACTTCTTAAAAAAATAAGTTGTTGTGTTGAATATTCCTAAAGTGAGAACTAACAAATAATTTAGTCAGCGTTAACCTGGACTTAACCACGGAC